TTTAGGGTTTAGGGTTTCCTTCTAGGGTTTAGGGTTCATATGGGGTTTCGGGTTTCCTTGTGCCCTGAAGGTCCAAGTGCCCAAATAGTATATATATATATATATATATGGGAGTTTCCGAAAATAGGGAACCCAAGTATAGTATCCTAAATAATAGGATCCTTACTATAAGGACCCCAAAATAAGGTACCCCTAATTTTCGGAAACTCCCATATAGTATGGCACCCTTACAAAAAGGACCCTAAAAGGGACCCTAATTTAGAGAACTACCCATACGAATGAGTCAAACAAAGCTCCGGCCAAGGACTCCTCAAAGGATCAACCTCTCAAGGTATCAGGGTTTAGGGTTTAGGGCTTAGGGCTTAGGGTTTAGGGTTTAGGGTTTAGGGTTTAGGGTTGGGTTTAGGGCTCATACTTGGAGGCTCATGGGACTTACTAAGTACAGATTTTAAGTACCTCAATGAAGGTTATAAGTAGTTATAAGTACAGCTACCTTATTTATATCCCTAGTTACGAAGTCCCATGAACCTTTAAATACTGTTATACGGCCTCAGACGGGCCCTGCTTAATGTAGGGGCCTTAATAATTATAATAGGGTTTTGGGCTCCTGTATAGTATAGTTGCAATAAGGAACCCCCAACATAGTATTGGTAATTATTTAGGCCCCTACATTAGGGCTTGTAGTCTTCAGATCCCTTGCGGTGTCTGGGTGGTCCATATCCGCCATTACCTGTCTCCTCAGCTCTACTTCCCTCAGGCGGAAAATTAATATGTAGTGTTGGAGATCCCTGTAAGATACGGTTGACGACACAAACCCTGCATTACCCATAATAAAGAATATACCATTACTCCCATAGCTTAGGGTCCTTAAGGTAATGCAGGATTTATATCATCAACAGTATAACCCATAACCCCAGATGGCCAACAAATCTTCAGCAGAACCCACCAGACCTAGAATTCAAGATATTCCCCGAGCCGGAAAAGCAGCTAAGCAGTGCTCTTTTTGGGGCCTTTTCTGGAGTTCCAGTCTCATGCAAGAGCCTTGAGGATTAAAGCAAGGGCTTCGTGCATTAAGTTTTTGTTCTGCGCCCGAAGGAGAGGCTGTTGTAGAAAACTCTTTCTGAAAAACCTTGAAATGGAATCCTTCACTAAATTCCAAAACCCTTTAACCACCCCAAATTAAGGCCCTTCGCATAGAGAACCTTATAGATCATTTCAGGAATCCTTTACAGAACGCTTAACCTTGGCTACTAAAGGCTCTTTATAGGAACCCCCATGAAGGGATCTGCTCCCAAAGCCGTATAATCCCCTGTAAATCCCCCTTAAAGCAAACCCCCTACAGGATCTGCTTTTGGATCCTCCCGGGGTCTGTGTATATATATATATATATAGTCCCTAAACCCTGAACCCATTGTCCAGTGGCCTGTTGGCTCGTTCCGTTTCGGCTTCCAGGAGGAGGTCGATCAGGACCGCTTTGGGGTTCCTCCCGGTTTAGGGTTTAGGGGTTTTGGGGTTTAGGGTTTGCAGTAGCAGCCTGGGGCGGAAATGGGGTCGCCATCAGTGCTACAACTTCACCCGGAACTTGTTATCACTTATGCATTGAAAGGATTTTTGAAGGTTCCGGTGGCTCTTCTCAGCACTTGGCACCGAGTCCGTCAGGGTGTGGACGGGGAACTGCCACGTAAAAGAGGTTTGTATGAGCATCTAAGTAAGCTTTAAAGGGTTTATTAATGGCTTTGTAGTTTTGTTTGAAATCTCAAAGTGGCGGGGATCCGACGCTACACTTTGTACCCACTGCCTACTGCGGGCACTTCGTGTTCAAAGTAACATGGCTCCTCAGGTTCCACGACGTCTACCCAAGAGCCGCATGAATCGATCTGCCTGTTCTGCAGTCGACCCTTATTATTAGAGGAAACTACAGGTGGGGAGTTTCGGGCATATAAGGCTTCTATAAGGCTTCTATAAGGTATATATAGACCTTCTACAAGGCCCCTATAACGGTAACTCCCCACCTGAAATGTCCTAGATATTAAGCACTTCTGTGAAGGACCCGCAAGCCGAACACACCCGGAGAACATGAGACCCCCAAGCCCCAATCCTAAGGGACTTGGTAAGTAGTTTAGGATTTAGGGTCATTTGATACTAGGCCACGACACCCTAACACCCTGCAAACCCCCCTCTCGTCCCCGAAACTGAAGGCCTGAACCCGAAACCATAAACCCAGCAAGCCCGCTACATAACATAGGGGGCTTGAATAATTAGAATAGGATTTTTGGGCTCCTGTATAGTATAATTATAAAAGGAAGCCCCAACATAGTATTGGCAATTATTAAGGCCCCTACATAAACCTCGAAAGCCAGAAGGGCAACCCTGCAGGGGACCCGGAGGCATCGATGTTGAAGCGCAGGAGCCGGCGGAGAAGTTGTTCCTGCATTGCATTTTTGTTTAGTGTTTTGCTTCCTTCTGTTGTTTATGGTTGGGGGTTTAGGGCTTACATAGGATTGAAAAGTTTTTGAATTTTGCGGGTGGGGGAGTGGTGGCGGATGGTTCTTTTCCGTAGGATTGAAGGCTTTTTAGTGTTTCGATTTTGGGGGCTTGCCTAAAAAAAGATCCGTGTCTATTTGTTTAAAGAAATATCTCCAAACCGTAAACCCTAAGCCCCATTTCTTGAGGTCTTTTCAGAATACTAAATCGTTAAAGTTTCCGAATATAAAACAAAGCTTATACCACGTCGCCTTGTTCAGGCCCATAGTGGGCTTCAAGGTGAATCAGACCCTTGGCCTAGTTAGTGTGTAAAAAGATTTAAGTCTCAGAAATCTAGGATTTTGGGCTATAAAGGTTGCATAAAGGTGACTGAAGCCCTAAAGACTACACGCTGAAGAACAGCAAGCCTAAAATCCTAAGACACAGACCTTGCAAAATTCTGAACCCAAAGACACCTAAGCTTGACAAAACACTTTATAGGAAACCCGTAAGGGGAACTTAATCTAAGCTGCTCAGTGACCTGCTGGAAAAATATGCACTTCCTTAGGTTAGTTATATTCTAACAGGAACCGATACCAGAACAGTCAACAAGGCTGCCACTAACCATCCTAGTTAAACGACGCCTCCCCCCCGTGAAAAAAACCCATATGCCCGAACACCTAATATGGGACCCTATACTACTAAAGGGTTCTTTTGGGCAACCCCCCTTTTAAGGGATCTACTTTCTGCACCTTGTAAACCTTAAAAAGAATTCCTTTCGATCCTTAGAAGGAACCTGCTTGAAGGGATTTACTTTCTGGATTCCCCCCGCGGTCTGAGCACGGGAAACGTGGTCCTCACTCCAGGTGCTCCACTCCTGTTTAGGGCTTTGGCTTCTTTCGTGGTTCAGGGGTCTTTAGGGTTTTTGGTGGTCAGTGGGTGTACGGCCTCGGCTTCTTTCGCAGCTCAGGGCCCTTTAGGTTTTTTTGGGTTTTGGGGGTCAGGGGTTTAGGGCCTTAGGGTTTTGCTTTTGGCCTTGCTTAGGGTTCTTCAAAGGTTTTGGGTTCGTTTGGGTTTAGGGTTCTGTACGGTTTTCGGGTTCCGTAGGGCATGGTTCTTTAAGGTTTAAAGTTTCGCTTAGAGCGTGGGTTGTTGGTGGTTTGGGCACAATTCGCTTCCTTTTCAGCATCTTTAAGATTGAGGGTGCGCGTAAAGGACCTTAAAACATGAACACCCGGAAAACACACCCTGCTTTTGTTACGCTGAAGATTGCTTCTGATCTGGGTCCCCGGTTGACATGTGTATGACGACAGAAATCCTCAGTCATAGGGAGTAAAATGGTGTTTTGTGCCAGGGGCATAGTTCTTAACAACTTCAAGAACTCTATCGAATCGCAGCACAGGATGCATAGGGTTGTGCGTAAAGGTTACAACGTGCAGCTTCTAGTTGACAAGCTTTAGCGGCTTGGACGGCTTACAAGTGACGACTTCCTGATGTCGCGCTTCAAGCTTCAGGGCTTTATGGCTTGAGGGTTTGGGTTGTAGGGTTTAGGAAGCTTCGGGTTTCAGGGCTTGGGAGTGCAAACTTTAGGGTTTCGAGGTTTCGGGTGTCTGATTTTAGGGTTTTGGGTTTTTTCAAAACCCGGCTCTCGCGGGGCAGCCAGTTGATCTGTTGGCCGCATGCTTGAAAAAACGTGCTGTGCCTCCTCGCCACATTGAGCCCCCATATCGGTTTTCAGCTGCCGTTTGCCCTCTTCGAACTGCACACTGAAGTAACGGGAGACCGATGACCCTTCAAGAGTAGAGCCGGGAAACATGCTACATAACGAATCTTGCATAGCACTCTCGGTAGTATGTGTTTCGCTGTGGCATGTTTGCATAAACGCACACACATGCACAAACGAGCACATGTTGTTGTTGTTGTTGTTGTTGTTGGTTTTATGTCTTCATCTAACCATCTGTCTAAATCATACGCTACAGCACTATTTCCACATCGTGCTGGCGATTTATCATGCGGCGGGCTTGGGAATCTGGGGTGCTCCTGGAGTGACTTTCGGCTGTGTCGGGGTTGGACTGCTGCGCGGTCTTCCGTGGGTGGCTTCACACGGGGATGTATGTGTATACGCATATTTGAATATATATATATATGTGCGTGTGAGTGCGTATTTGTATACAGACAAAACTATTTAAGACTGGCTACAAAGTATTCGTATGTTCTTTTGATGAATACTACATTGATTTTTCTGGATTTTTTGCGACACTCCTTAATTAGCTCAAAGCCCCTCATCTAGTAATGCTGTCTGTATGCGTGTGCATATATATATATATACACACACACACGGATAAAAGACCGATGGGTAGATAGATAGATAGATAGATAGATAGATAGATAGACAGATAGATAGATAGATAGATAGATAGGTAGATAGATAGATAGACAGACAGACAGACAACTAGTTAAATAAATAAATAAATATATATATATATATATGCATGTCTGTGTATACATATTTGTATGTATACACATGTTCCTGTGTGTGTTACCAGTGCGTGACCTATTTGTTGTCGGATCTAGAATAGATTGTGCTGCACATAAGACATAGTGACGGAGATCTGCCCACGCTGACCAGTTGGCTTGCCCTGCTGTTGGGCCTGACGTGGCTTCACAGGTCCGGGAACGTCCGTGGCCCAGGGGACATGTAGGACCATTGGACCACTCCATACTCCTCTAACGAGTCGAAGGTCCACATGAAACATAAAAAAATGCCCTCTTCCGAAAGGCGGCCGCGAGCTTCGTGGTGAAGCCACGCGGCCAACGGATTGCCGCTCGGGGTAACGGTTGTAAGCAAACCACACCCAGTGCAGCGGGTAGAAGACCCCACGGCTGCAAAAGCGTGCCGGCATCCGAGTCGACCTGCGAGAGGACGAGGTAAACCGCATCGTTGCGACGAGCGAACGATGCGACACCTGCCAACAGCGCTGAGCCGCCCCCGAGACCTCGTATGGCGCCGACCTCCTTCACCACGACACCGCGTAGGCAAAGTGCCAGCGTGGCTTCTCCAAGAATCCTCCCGTGCTTCCAGGCGCCCAACAGCGTTTGGGCTGCATAACCGCCACGCAGGCAGGCATGGCACATCCAGCATGAGAGTTCAAAGTGCTTGTAGCTATTTTTTTCTCTGCGAGAATTTCCCGCAAAAAAGCTCGCCCTACCGCTCATTCCCGCATGCACCTGTTCACTACCCACTCACCTTCTCTCTCAGCTAATCAAAGGCTGTTCAGGATTTCGGGCATTTGCCGTACCGTGGGTGGGAGGTCCGTCCGCATCCAAGTTGATGCCAGTGGCCTAGTAGGGTTCAGGATTTAAGATGTAGGGTTTAGGAATTCGGATTCAGGATTTAGGATTTTAGTGGTTTTACGAAGAGAATTCAAAGTGGCAAAATCCGGCTTTGATTTGCAATTTTTAGGATTTAGGATTTAAGGTTTAGGTTTTAGGTTTTAGGATTTAGGATTTA